ATATATATATATATATATAAATTAAATAGGCTACCAAATTTACATAATTAGACTTCTTTATATTATGCTACATGTAAAAATTAAGGGTACTAAAACTCTTTAGTTTTTTAATCTTTTTAATTTAAAAAATAATATTTATTTGAAATCTTAATAGAAATTATAATAAAAAGATAATACTTTGTTTGTAACTAAATTCAAAATCTAACCCTAAACCTTTTACTCCTTGCTTCCTTTAGGTTATGTTTGTTTTTAAAGATGGAAAAGGGAGAGTGAAAAAGGAGGGATTTGAAGGGAAAGTGAGTGGAAAGTGAGGTTGTTTGGATTAAGGGAAAGTGAGTGGAAAGTGTAGAGAAAGTTTGTGAGTGAATTGATTGATGTGATAGTTAAAAATTTGTTTTTAATTGATTAATTGGTAAGATTACTATTTTGCCCCTGGGGTAAAAAGAGGTTTATAATTATTGTAATTAATATTGTAATTGATAGTTTATTAAAGATATTATGAAATTTAGTTATTTACAAATATTATAAATATAAATATTTTACTGAATATAAAAAATAAAAAATATTATGAATATAAATATTAATTTAACTTTGTAATATATTTTATGTAATATATATATTTACAAATATTATAAATATAAATAGTAATTTCACTTTATTAAATATTTCATGAAATTTAATGATTTAAAAATATAAAAATAAAAATGAAATTAACTTATATATATATATATATATATATATATATATATATATATATATTTTGCATAAAAATAGTAATATTAATCATAAAAATAATATGAAATCAATAATATTCATACAATAAAAAAATTATATTTAATAATTAAATAAATATATAACATATTCTTACAATAAATATATAATTGTAATAATTGAATACAACAAATAAATTCAACAAATATACATATCAAATATTCGTATTATATATAAAGATATAATAGATATATTTAACAAATAAATAAAAAAATAAATACATTGAATTATATATATATATATATATATCTATGCTATTATTAAATAAATACAATATGAAAAATATAAATAACCATCATTTTACAATTTTTTTCATAATATATTACTGCATTAAAAACGTGTCTGATTTAAACATGTTCTATTGATGGTAGCTTTCGTCGAGGGGCTTCGTCTGCGGTGGTAGTACCTTTTCCTTTTCTATCCCGTGGAGTTCTTTTTCTAGTGGGCCTCGAACTGGATGCCATACCTGAAAATAATGTTCAACATAAACAATAACAGATATGTTTTAAAAAATACCTGAATACATAAAACATATTTTCATATACAAGATTGAAAGTCATTGCAGGATAAACCGTACATTTATATGTTACATAAATGAGAAATTGTGACATTACATTTAAGTTATTATAATTTGAAACATTACAGAACCCTAAACAATACAACAAGTTATCGGATAGCCAATCAATCACTTGCACCCATTAACTTTAGCAACTGGTTTAGACGCAGATGTGAGGGCAAGCCAAAAAGTCGCCTAACATGTGATGGATTATTGCACAACCAATCATAACATTGAACCATAATCTGCTCATCGGGTAGGTTCATGGCGACTAACATCTCCCATATATCTGACTCTGAATACTGAACAGTTGATGTGCGCCTCATAACATTTATTTGCTCATTAATTAAATCATTTCTGCGTTCTATAGCGACCACCTGTCTTCACTACAAGAAAAAGTCAAATTTCCCACGGATTATTTCCCACGGACCAAAATCCGTCAAAAATTTCCCACAGATTTTTACATGAAGGAATTTCTGACGGAATTTCCGACGGATTTAAATCCGTGGGAAATTTCTAACGGAATTTCCCACGGATTTAAATCCGTGGGAAATTTCCGACGGATTTTCCCACGGATTTAAATCTATCTAAAATTTTTGACGAAGTTTCCCACGGATTAAAATCCGTTTGAAATTTCTGACGGAGTTTCCCGCGAATTTAAAACCGTCTAAAATTATTAAATAAAATTTAAGCCAATTATTTTTCAAATGCAACCAATCCTGATCGCATCAATACACAACAATTATGCACTATATAATATTTTCATTATTATATGTGTGTTTTCAAAATATAAATAAGATAAATATAAATCAAAGTGTGTGAGGTATGACTTATATTACGTATATATAATTATATGTTTAGGTTATTATAAATTATAAACTAATTAGCATAAATGTGTTTTTTTACTTATCTTGAAAAATACCAATTAACACATGACGTCCAAATTTAAGAATACCATATCTTTTCTTTAATTATTAAAAATCTCTCATCTCTTTGAAAATAACGTTATTAATTAGATAAGGAGAAAATTAAAAGTTAAATTATGTTCTGCAAATATCATATATATATATATATATATGTATCATTTATTTGTAAATTACTTCCAATATTATGCATGTCATTTTCATGAAAACTTTGATTGATCTTCAATTTTGAAAATAAGATTTTTTTCAATTCATTTTCAAAATTATTACTTAAATTTAATATTTTTTTAAATCACAATATTAATGTGCATGATATAAATTTAAGATAAATTTCAAAAAAGTTGAAGTAATGAAATAAGAGATCAAATCTCATTTAATTAATGATATTTGTATTATTAAATTATTTTCTCTTATTAGTATAGGAACAATATTTGACTGATTTACAGGCACAGGTGGAGAAATTATTTACGGAGGCAAATTTGCAGGTAGTTTACCTCATACCTATTATGAGAGGAGGTTTTTTTTATTCTACATATAAGAAAAGAGAATCAAAGTGTGGCCCCCCATACCAGCATATCTATAGCAAAGCGCAAAAGAAAATATAGTCTGGCATACTACTC